CAATATATTCACCAGATGTTCATAAACACAAGAAAGGACATCGTTATAATCTTACACCCATCATATCTCACATCAGTCCGAACTCTACACCATGGTCGAATCACCACCAATCACCAATTTTCCATCATATATTCCCCAAACTGAACAATGCAAGTTTCAAATTTAATGACAACACGAGCAGTATGATTCACGCCACAATCCATAACATATCATGGTCGGATGGTATCATTGCCAGCCTTAAGAAAAAGTTGTCTGGAAAGAAATTACAGGTAACCTTTCATATCTTGCCTATATCTTATCTCAAGACCAACTAAGCAAAAAGTCGACCTGAACATTAATCAGTTGGATTCAATACTGATTATTTTGCCACGATAGTCCACTTTGCAACACATTTTCATAATTGCGTGTATTGAACTATGTACAATGTTAGGCCTATGACCCAAAATTATATCAAACCTTTACCAAAGGCTCTGGGCATTAAGAAATCACAATAGTTGCAAAATTTCTCAAAGAGACCTTTCTATTTCATTAAATCATTTGACCTTTTTTTTAATAGAAACGTGTGAAGGAGCTAATCAAAAAAACTTTGAGAAGACATTTAGAGCATTCGACCATGGACAATAGTGAATTGCCACCAATTGACGCACAAAATATGATGTTTAAACCAAGATTAGTTAATTTTGGCGTAAGTATTGTCTCAACAAACAAACTCGTGATGTCTGCTGTAACTTTCTTTCAGAAAGGTGCTTAGGTCTATTTCGTATAGTCGGCTTTACCATTTCAATTAATCGTGGTATGCCGTGTTAATGAATGAATTACATATGTTTTTAAGGATTTCTTCAAGATTGTAGACTATTTTGTGAATATTTGCCATAATGCAGAATGGAAAAAGAATGAACTGGTATGTAAACGTATTCTAAAAGGCTATTATACATACGTATCTACGACGGCCGATGTCTGACAATAACCTCGTATGCAGCTGGAAGAAAATCTTCTTGAATTGTTAGGCGTAAGTTACATCCGCGTTACAAAAAATAGTTCGTTAGATGTTAATTATCTCCCTTGAAGACTCTATCCTCGTCATATACAGGAGAAGTCTGGGTGTCAAGGACTAGTCTTATGTCAACAATGGAGACGAAAATTTAGCTATTGTCACATGACCTAATATTTGAAAGCAGTCCGATTTATCCGCCAGCTGCATACGAGGTTATTGTCAGGCATAGCGAGAATGGTCGACTTATTTGCGATTGGCTATTATACTAAACAAAACAAAGATGTGGCTATCAGAAGCCCCAGGATTATTTGCGAAGTGCAGTAATAAATATTGCAAGATAAGGCCTTTCTGTCAGTTCGAAAATAGGTGACACCTCAGAGGCTCTGTCGGTAGCGTGTTGGGTTGTCATCTGCTGGGTGATCAGGTGCCATGGGTTCGAGTCCTGCTCAAGGTATGAAAAATTATGATGTCTGTGCCAATGCTTCCCGACTCGTTCTATAGCCGTTCGTCAGAATTCTCGAATGGTCAACATTATCAGTCAGGATACGGGAACACTCATAGCCTATCCAGTTTCACCTTTTGAGCATGCATTTTGTTTTATATTTGTATATCCTACTGATGCCAAAAATCCTAATTTGGATCTAAATTTTTTCTGATGCATTAATTTGTAGGAAGGAATCGTAAAGGAGATAGCACAAAACACAGATCCTTTTCTGAAATCATCTTTATCAAGGCGAAAATTGGAAAGGTATACCAAAACTCTGAACTACGTGGGTAAGTGATATATCGAGAAAACATCATTTTAAGCATTCTTGATTAAATCATTGAAAACCCGACGGTCCGAAGTGTACAGTTCAGTGAATAGTTTAACATGATTAAGATTCAATCTAGATTTCGTTTCGTTTGGTGATTTTTCTTCAGATGACCACACTTGGCCTCAAAGATCTGATAATACTCTTGTCTATGGTTCACTCAAATTTTAACTTCAAATCAAACAATACATGCCTTTTTCTTAACAATGAAAAGTACAATACATAAAATATTTTTTGTATAGAGAGCATTTGATTGGTTGAACATCTCACATGATCCAGAATGTGAGATGCTTAACAATTCTGTCAGATCGTGGATGGCTTGTGGAATCAACCGTAGAAAATACAAAATACTACAGCGCTTTTTTTTGAGGGGGGCGGGGGGTATTTTGTAGCGCCCGAAGAAAATAAACCGATACAATAGTAACGTTTTCTGAAGCTACTATATAAGTGTATCTCTTGATTTTCTATCAGATATTGAAGTGATGCATGTTGGAGTGTCACATGTTGGAAATGTTAACTGTCATGGTAAAAATGGAAAATGGAAAGTTGGTAAATTAAAATTATTGTCCAAAACAAAGATAAATGGTAAATAGCTGTTTAGTTTATTAATTAATTTTGATAACACGTTTTTTTCTGACTTCGGAACTAGAAATCGTAAAAGGGTTGAGTTTGGTGTTTTTCCAACCATTTCAACACCTTCTACAAACATTTAGATATGGCTTTCGCCTGGGTATTTGTAAAGTATTATTTTAATCTCACGGGCTATGAATGAAAATCTACGAATTTATATGTTAAAATTTTATTTATATGAAAGCCTGTAAAATGTCTATGATTATTTTTTACAGAAACTATTTCTATTTCGATGATTTTGTTAAATACGCCAGCTATTTCTATATTAAACAGTACCAACAGGTAAGAATCTTTTAGCAATATTTTCATCATGCAGGAAGCGCACCTATACCCCATCGTTCACCAGTTTCCCTTTACTGACATTAAAAAAACAAGAATTGATCTGAAAATATTAGCACTGTTACAATGTAGTTTCCGTATAAAATAAAACATCGGAAGAGTTTGTTGACTAATCTTACAAGATAGAACTTATTGTCACAACTCAGTGTTTTATTTACTTTACAGAAATGGTGACGGTTCATCATTCCTAGTTAGTCCTTTATTGTCAATAGTGGCGTTTGGAGATCAACATCAACTACAAGTATCGCATACATTTTCTTTAGAAATAAACAGGAATGTAACCAACAATGCCAATGTAAGCATTAACAAATTTTTGAATTTATATTAAAGGGGCAAGTGTGTCGATTTGGGGGGTTGATTTCAGTCTTAAATATATGTAAATAGTATTCAGAAGTAGTACAAATGTAAGAAAATCACATAATTCCTTTAAAAATACTTCAAACTAGGAATTTTACTCACTATTTCTATGTCCTTCCTATACATCACAGAGTATCTTCAAATGACGAGTCATCATTTTAACATTCAAACGCAGATAATTCTAGACACATGGATTTGAAGGCTCACATTTCGTCGGTGAGCTGTGAACACTATTATCAGCCGACCTCAGCTACAAAAGCAGAAACCACTGGTTATAGTGTTAATAGAGGGCCAAACTGATTCATCTTATTACACTAAAGTAGGGCTTAACTGGGCTGAGGAGTAAAAAATCTAATCCGATCCATCGCAGTCGACATAAGCCAATATCAAACAAGCTGAATCAGATTGACCCCATTATAAACTCATTTTACCAGATGTTACTGCTTTTTCAGCGAGTTCAACTCAAGAGACGCTATCTCACGAATAGTCACTCGAATCACGCTCTCCGTGTATCATTGAGTAAGATTTAACCTTGATAACTGTTTTCCGTTTCTTTTAGACAACCGAGACAGGCAATGATAAAGAAGAATATGACTTTAGTTGTGTATATCTGGATATTGCCACAGGGTACGTATAACTAGACGCAAGACCCATCACAATGAAACTACCCATCATGGGACTGGGAGCTTGTCATTGATACAAGACATCTCTTTGAGAAAATGCCTTGCGTTGATGCCATTCAGCTTTTTTGAAAAAAATATTATCAGTAATAGAACAATCTCCAAATCAAACATCTGAGCCTTCAAAACAAAACATATTTTCATTACATATGTGCATCGAATCTATTTAAAGAAAAGTTTATATTGTCGAAGTGCAGTCAGTTTCAATTCAAACTGCCGTCAAATATGGCTAAAAGTGCGGTGGGTTCGTTTTGCCGCACTGCCCAACTTGCCGCATCGTGCCCAACTGCACAAAAACGACTTGTAAAACGACTTGTAAAACGAGACTAAAGGTTTCTGATAAAATCCGGAATGGCCATTTGTTATTTTATTTTATATTTCAATCTGTTGTCCTGCATCGATTTTCTTTTTATTTATAATTTGGACCTGTTAGGAAAATCGAAACTATAGTTTCGTACTGTGCCTTTTTACAGAGGCATACTTTTCGCTGTTATGGTGACAATAATAAAACCCTCACCGCTCACGGTTTTAGATTCCGCAATACTTATTTTCCTGTGGATCCATCCTATGTCTGAACTGTCATTTTTTCTCAACAATCGCAGGTTCTTCTCCAATTGCCGACGGTAGTGTGGAGCCATTCAACCCTAGCTTCTACCTTGTCCACCAGGACATTCTGGGACTTATCTGGAACCAATAGGGGTTGAGCCACTGCCGAATTATAGGGCACATCTAATACGAGAATTCTAAACTTCTCCTCGCTTGATAATCTGATTTACTATTCAGAAGATTTTTACTTTCAGACATTTCAGTTGCCATTTTTTCTAGCACGTGGGTGACGTTATTGGCACGCAGTAGAGGGACATAACTCTTGCAAGTTATGAGCAATATTTTGAATAATTATAAATAAAACAGATTAAAATATTTCGTTTCATGTGAAACAAATGGCCATTCCGGATTTTATCAGAAACCTTTAGTTTCGTTTAACAAGTTGTTTTTGTGCAGTTGGGCACGATGCGTCATGTTGGGCAATGCGGCAAAACGAACCCACCGTTAAAAGTGCCATTTTCATCCACATTGATAGAAACTAAAACTTGTGTTTAGGTACATACGTATCCTGTAGAGACTTTTTTTGGTTCACTTCAAATTAACTCTTTTTATGCCTACATTAGATTATGGTCTGATTTTGGTTGCGAAGTAACAGAAGAAGGCATTACACAAATATCGTGTTTCTGTAATCATACTACAAATTTTGCTATCCTCATGCAGGTCAGAGATTTCCAGGTAAATTTTTTAAAAATATTATCGAAATCTCATTGAAAACGTTTCGTTTCATATTTTCTGTAATAAAAAAGGGCTGGACATAGCGGCAACAGAAAGGATATGATCAATCGCTAGGTTTATTTCACTAGATCATTGACAGAAAAATTTTAGTTGTCGTCAATTGTTTGTGCTCTGCCTTAAACAAACTTGAATCTGATGGTCATCGTATCTCGAATACGGGTTTTGACATTGTCTTATTGAGCAAGTATGACGAATGGGGGTATGGTTTGGACACGATGAATGGTGCACTTTCATCTATATAACGACTTTTATTGGAAATTTGATTTCTTTATTTCAGGTATCGAAGAAAGAAGAGTTGACATTAAGTACTATATCTTACATTGGTTGTAGTATATCTCTGATTACACAGTTTATAACAATAGCAGTCTTTACATTTATAGAGTAAGTTAGCTCTTGTTACACTGAAATTAAAGAGTCGATAGTAAAGTCAAGTTTCGAACGCTGTTGAGAAATTGCGGAAAGGGGTGTATATATGAATTATAAAAATATCGAAACAACCTCAACAAATTTGTTGTAACTCGGAGTTTCAAGCTATGCAAACTTCAGACAACTGACCTATTTCTCGTTCGGTCTACAGTTGCTGTATTAAGCACTATTTTAAAAGTGAAATTTGTTGTAATTGTAAATATATGAATTAACTTCGTGACCTATGCCCGTGGGTTAATTTCCCCGTATCACCCTAACAGTAACCCTGCCAGTTTCAGTACCAGTGAATTAGGGTAGAGCTATCTTACACGAAATAATTATGTTCTAGCTTCATGACCTAGGCCGATGTTTTTTAATGGGTTCTTCCAATTTCACGGTTTGAATCCACAATATAAGAAAATTTCTGATGCCTGTGCCAATGCTTTCGAGAGTCGGCTCTCATTGCCTACTATCTAACAGATTGTTATTGAAGATTTGTAATATGGTATGAGTTTTAGAGCTTATTCTATTTCAGTTTTATTACTTGTAAACAAGAAGCTAGTTTTTTTTAAGTGCTTTGATAACCGAACTGTGATATTGTTATTCTTGCAGAATATTGCGGTGTGAAAGGACATTTGTTCACAGAAATCTTTGTTTAGCAATCGTCGGCGCTCAAATTACTTTTCTTGCGGGAATCAAGGCAGTCAAATATAAGGTAAGATCACATCAGACTACCATTATGTTCTTAACTATTACTTTACAACTTGTCCTTTTAAAAACGAAATGATGCCATTTATCATTCACATTAAAATATAAGTTTGGAATCATTGAGCATTTACAGGTTGCTTCCCTTGAAATGCAAAGCGGTTAAGAGAAATATGTTAGGCATAATTTTTTACTTGTCTTGTGTTTTGTTAAATGTTATTTGCGAACACGGAGACGAATTCGTGAAAGTACGTCTCCGTGCGGCAAGTCGAATTTTGATATAGGGGCCTAATCAAATTATAAGTAGACATACAATTTTGACAAACGTTTTGATACTTTTATTCATGGACCAAAATTTCAGAAGTCTTATGCATGACGAAATTAAATCTTTTGTTGTAGATAGCATGTTCAATGATAGCTTTAGTACTACACTATTGTTATATGTCTGTATTTGCCTGGATGTTAGTAGAAGGTTTACATCTATACAACCGTGTTGTAAGAGTCTTTGGATCGGAGTTATATAGAAAGATTTATTATTCTGTATTTGGCTGGGGTTAGTTGATGAATATTTTAAATTATGAAACATAGAACAGCGTGAAACTCTGGAGAGAGAAAATTATTAACTTATTCCTTATTTAATGCATTTCCAATAAATGTTGATGGTGAACCAAACGTAGCATTTTTTGAGTATTTTCCAAGACAGTGTTCCCAATGTACTTCAGCCAGAAGACCTCCCTAACATCTCTCTAAATATGCTTGTAATTTGATAATTTTCACGTGACAAAATATTAAATATTGCAAAGGCATTATATATTTTTAACAGTATATGCTTATGTCATTAAAGCCTGAATGAATTCATCCTGTGTTCCTTTTTAGCCCCTGATTCGCCATCTCTATTGTTTTATTATATCGTGTTGTTATTATTGGTATTTCAGGAATGCCAGTATTGTTGATAGTAATATCAGCTGCTGCTGATTGGGATGGGTATGGCACAGACAAAGTGTAAGTTAACTGGTATATTTTATTGTTTTTATCAAGTTTATGTTTTGATAAACGAGTCTTTTTCATATAAATACGACTATTTTCTGTTGTCTTCTTTACGTAGTTGTTAGTTATCTTGATTTGAAATCAAAAACATGGAAGAGACATTCTCGGAATTATAAAGATCTTTAACAGTTCATTAAATTAAAGCCATCATGCTTTAATTTTGCTTTTTACGCAAAGAAAAAGTAATCTTATCTATCCGGCAATATTCGGTCATATCGACTATTACTAGCATGTTTCTTCAACAAGTATGGCGACTCATATTGATAAATAGAATCTAAAGGCGAACAGGGTAATAATCTTTTTATTTAGATATTTATCTTGCTTTATTAGAGCATGATAGCTTTAACGTTTTTTAAAGGCAATTTTTGATTGGCATGTTCTCCTCTTAAAATTCGTGTTTTTGGAATTCTATGCCGTATGGAATGTTGTACCATGCATAGATGCTCGCAATATTATTGCAACACCTTTTGTTGTTTGGTTTTACATTTTTCTTCGTCTGTATACTTTTCAGATGCTGGTTATCAATAAGTAGAGATACGATATGGGCATTTGTTGGACCAGCGCTTGCTATAATTACGGTTAGAGAAAATTTCTATTATAATAGGTCTTCACAACGTTAGTTGCGCAGTTGCGCTTGACTTTTTAGCAAAAGCTTTCATAGTTGTAATTTTGTTATTCCATGTGGTTTCACTCTCAAGTGTCAGGTGCCAGTACATATAAGATTATTCCCTACCTGTCCTCATTCACCTCATTCTTTTATTGCAATGGACTTTTGTTTTATATTTTTAAGATTTAGACGGCAACTTTTGCTCTTTTCGGAACCCAAAATTCACCTTATATGCATGAGCCATGCAGGGACGTTGATTGGAAAATAGCCCACAGAACTAGGAACCTACCATCTCTTAAAATGCGCTGTTTTGACATTTCTGATTGGATCAGGGCATTGCTTGGTTGGGAACTGGGGAAGAAAGAGGCTTATTTCCATCTGTGTTGGTCCATTATTAAATCAATAACCTTTGACTCCCAATTTCCATATTTGGAATACATCATAGATATTTTTCCCTTGTACAGGTAAATATTGTGATATTGGTTTGTGTTACGAGAATTGTGATGACGTCAGCTAAGCATGGGAAACAAGGCCAGTTTGATCACGTGAGGTATGTATCGTTTGGGCACCTGAACAGTTCACCTGAAGATGCAATGTAGATTGTTGAAACGTAGTGTGTAATAAAACTAAGGAGTAGTATACCATAAAATTGTGTCCGTTATTTAATGTGATCTCTACCCCTAAATGTCGCTAAAGGATTAATGATTAGATATATATTTTCAATGTAAAGTTAACACATCAATTTTCGAATTTCCATTTTAGTTATCTGAACACATAGGTCTTTATAAATTCTTATATTTTATCTAGAAGTTGATCGTGGTCACATCATACATAATTTTGTATCCAACTGGTAATAAAAAACATAGATAGCTCATAGCTACAGAGACCAAAACTACTTGTGGTCACAATTATGTGAAAATTATGTCTGTATCTTATGTATATATGAGGTATGTCTTTTTCAGGGCTGGTGTCAAAGGAGCCCTATTTCTTATACCTATATTAGGAATGACTTGGGTTTTCGGTTTGTTATCAGTGAACAGAAATCTTATTATATTTCAATATCTGTTTGCTGTTTCAAACTCATTGCAGGTAACATTTAAACATTAATAATAAGATTAAATATTAAAACATTTAAACTAATTAAAATTAGACCAAATATTTATCAGCTTGTATTTATAATCTAGCCATTCAGTTTAACGACAGTCTGATTTTTTTAAGCAGACGCCATAGAGTAAGGTCAAACGGTTAATTTGACGAACGTTCGAGAGGGTTGTCGTTAGACCATAACTGAAGTGACTATGTTAAAAATAGGATCTAACAAAAAAACAAAATAATTTTAAATAGACTGAAATTGAACGAAAAGTTTGGTCAAAAGCAAATCATATTGCTGTCAGCAGAAAAATAACCATAACATTAAAAAGCTTTATTTATACAGAATTCAAGAAAAGTTTAGGTTTTCGAATATTTTTTCTCCTAGCCCCGTCCTATGTTATCTTTGCATTGACAATATAAATTGAAATTTGGACCAAGATTGAGCAGATGGCATCGAGATTCCTACGCTTTCAAACAACTAACAAGCTAGAGTCTGTACCATTATATAAAATCTCAGGATTGTTCCCAGATGCATCATGACGTGTATTTCACAAAATATGATTTGCGGAATCACATTTTTAATGAATTTCCACGTATTTTTGTCGATAACTTTATGAGATCCAATTCTCACAAATATCCATCGACAAACTCATTATCTGTTATAGTTCCATTTCCTTATTCTTTCAGGGATTCTTTATATTCCTGTTCCATGTTGTTCTGAATTCCGAGGTAATACCAACAGTCTTCTGATATAAGAGTAAATGAAATGATGTCTAGTTGAGCAAAAATATTTGTATATGTCCTGCTCCGAAACACCAAACTTATGGGTGGAATCATCTCCACAACGTCAAACCATTACGAACTTCGACAGCAATATTCACTTTCCTTGTATGATCTAAGTTTGTAAATGAAGCGATTTGATTGGATTGTACGCCAGCGACTACAGCCAATCAGAGGTATGGACAAGAAAGTATGTTTATCCGAAGCCATAATGTTTACAGCATTTTTGATTGGTTATATTTGCTATATATTAATCCAACTAAATAGCTTCATTCAGTGATACAAGAATAGTGACTATTGCAGTCAAAGAAATTGAGAAGATGGGATAGAATAACTTTGAATTGAAAATGGAATTTTTTAGAACTAACTTTGTATTACTTGCTTCCTGGTCATATTAATCTGTTATTTATATAACCAGTGGCGGCGCCAGTGCGTCTAGAGGGTCTGGTTTGAATCCCAATTGTACCCCCACTTTATTTTCAACAAATCTAAATCTCTACCCTTTTTCTCCAAAATGTGTGTCAAAATGCACAAAATCAATTCATTTTTTACAATTTTCTTGAGAAAATCATCTAAGGCGCTCCATGAGAGGCTTGCGACTATGACACCACCACAGAGTAGCCAAAATTTGAATTCAGACTCAGCAGTTGTCCTTCCATTGATTCAATCTGCCCCCTATTTGTACCCCCAGTCTTGGAAGGCTGCTGACACCGCCACTGTATATAACTCATATCTAACATATGGTACCATGTTTTATAGGTCAGACAGGCTCTGATGAGACTGAGGGAAAGAAGGTCATTACAAAGGGCAGATTTGAGTTCCATTACGTCGACTTCCAGTAGCACTAACTGGGTAAGTGAAGCTTAAAGGGATTGTGAAGGGGTTTTCTAGAAGTGTTGTGTGTATCAGGGACACTGATTGCATCAATTTGCACCATTCCAATTTTCAACCATCTGTGGTTCCTGCAATTCCTCTAAAACTAAGTTTTATGACGACACTAATCGGGAAGTCCTTATGTGATAAAACATATTTTGCGATTAGTGACGTCACCAAACACTTAATTTTAGCGGAATTAACCACAGACATCTGGTTGGAAAATGGAATGGAGCAAATTGAGGCTATCCCCGATACGCATAAAACTTTTAGATAATCTCTTTACAATCCCTTTAAAAAGCAATATCTTAGTGACGTTTATTTTTAAACAAAGGGTTTGACTTCTATCAGTGTTGATAACACCTTCTACTTTTTTTGCTCAATCATCTGTATATTATATTTGCGGTCGGTCGATTTACTAGTACTCAGTTCGATGACTTTATATGTATTGTTAAGCCACACCTTTGATACAATTTTCATCTGATATCATTTTTATACATCCACATGAATATGTGGTCGCATCTGTCCGTCGATCCATCGGTCCGTCCTTCAACATTTCTTGTGAGCACTATAGAGACTGCAGTTTTCATCTGATTTTGATAAAACTTAGTAAGATCTGGGTCAAGTTTGTATATTTGACGTATTTTCGATGAGCGGTTTTTTGAGATATTGCCCTTAACTTTGTAAAAACGCATCAAACTTTGTTCGTGAGCACAATAAAAGCCACAATTTTCAACTGATTCTGATGGAACTTTGTGAACACAATAAAGACTACAGTTTTCAACAGATTTTAATGAAATTTGGTGTGATCACTTATATTATTGATGAGATCGTAGATAAGTTTGGACTTGATGATTTTTCGATGAACGGTTATTGCCCTTGACTTATGAAAAAGGCGTCAAATTTTTTTTTTGCCCTTGATTAGAGCTGTGTGATTTAATTGTTTGTTGTATTTGGGTTATTGATACTGATTTTAAAAAAATTTTTGGAATTACTTAGCATAAATAACTGGCATATATATATATGATTGAATTCAAACTAATAAGATTTCTTCAATATGAGAAAATTCATACTATGGTCACTTAAGACTGTTTTATCATTTCTGACAGCTGTCACTGGGCGTGTATTACTTTGCCTTGCTAGCTTTCTTCTTGACTGTAATGATATACCTTCTTCACAATCTTAATTTGCTTTATCTCATAGATTAGCTTCTGGTACAAAACTTTTCTTGATGTGGCCACTGGCAAAACTTTCAACAGTTGACTTTCCATCGGAAATGCAACTTTTACTTTTTATTTGAATGTTTACGGCAGGAAAGGGATGATAAATAAATAGTGAAGACCAAACGACTAATGGACTATTTGTCAATTGATATGTTTTTTTTTTGGTGGTATATGAAGAAGTTTTCATTAATTGTCATGTCAATGCGACATGTCATTACCATTTGTTCAGGAATTTTGATCATCCATGTTGATGCTTATTGACAGACAGTTGTTCAAAGCATCATATACGGTGCTCAATAAAACAATATTCAAATATTAAAACAATCTTGTAAAAAGGTTATCATTTATGCCGTATAACACATGCCATTATCGACAAACCGTAAATAATGTGTTCAATTATGTATCGCAGAAAAAACGTCAAAAAGCTAATTGCTAGATTAATAGTTGGCTTGGGAATAAACAAAAACGATTATCATTATTGATAATTTATAAATACTGATATTGAAACTCACAATACTAGAATTTAGTGAGTATACATCACTGACAATAAACCTCTAAAGGCTACTGTTTTAATGCATATTATAGAATATTTACAACCAACATAATGAAATTCACCTGATATATTCTGTGTTATGTCCATACCATTATCAAAAGGATTGCAAAGAGATTTTCTAAACTTTTATGTGAATCGGAGACACTGATACAATCGATTTTCACCATTTCAATTTCATTCGTTAAGGGGGCCGAGCAGGGGCCAGAAAATTTTCCCGGGTGGGGTCTGACTGCAATTTTATTCCATGTATTGCAGTTTGGTAATGACTTACATTTTAGTAACTTTTATACGCCCACATGAAATGGGGAAATATATTGTCGTCACCCATGTTCGTCCGTCCAAATCGTAAACACTCTTGAAGGCATAATTCTTTACTGATTTTGACGAAACTTGGCATGATTGTAATCACTCAAGGATGAATCCTGTTAAAAATAAGAAAAATCTAAAAAAATTTAGAATGAGTTATTTCCCTTGTTCTTGAAATACTCGTTTTTACGAAACTTGGTGTGTGTGTTTGTTATTACCCATGTATGAACCCTATCGAAAATCAGAAAAATCTAAAAATATTTAGTATGAGTTATGCCTTGTTCTTGAAAACGCGTTAAAATTTTAGCTCGTAAACACTCGAGAAGGCAACATTCTTGAGAGATTTTGACGAAACCTTGTGTGAGTGTATGTAATCACCCAAGGATAAACCCTATAGAAAATCAGAAAAATCGAAATATATTTAGTATGGGTTATTGCCCTTGTTCTTGAAAACGCAATCAACTATTATCTCGTTAACAATCTAGATGACAGAATTCTTGACGGATTTTGACGAAACATTCAGTATGACGCCAAACAGTTCAAAATAAGTGTATGACTGAAGGTTGAATTTTTCATACTGGTGATTGTACTGCTAAATATTTTTATTCAAAATCAAAGCTGCCAGTGGGCGTATATTACCTTGCCTGGAAAGCTATCTTTAGAAATTCCCCTGATAGCTCTTTATGCTTGACCTGTAACTGCAGTTCCGTCTGTCAAATGACGACGGTTTTCGACGATTCAATAGATGGAAACATTTAAAGATGGGTTCCCTTTCTTCTTTGAAAATAAAAATGCTAATACTTATATGAAAAGAAAGAAGAGGTGTTCTAAAATACCCCTTTGTCTCCATAATTAATTCATAATTAGCTAAATTAGAAGAGAATTACCAGCAGAATTCCAATGAGTGACCGAACAAGAAAGGTCAAATAGTCTTTTTTTCTTTATCCAGACTGTACATACATGTGCATTTATGATTGGTTGAAACATATGCGATAAGAATATAATGATATGATTCAGAATACATGATAATTCATTAAAAACACCAATTTGTCAAATAGATTGCTTAATTTGACACTTTAAAAAGTAAGGAAACCCATCTTTAATTAAAGTAGACGTTTCTCTTTCAGAACACAAAAAGTATATCAGAGAGACCCCCCAGGCGATGGTCAAGACGGGTCTCACCAGCACAGACTGGTACTTCCGGGACTATGAGTACTGTCTAACTGCCCGGGTAAGTTTGTAACATATTTACCGCGACCATGAGTATGGATCGTGTAATT